AAATTGGAGATTGCATTAGTCTGTTCCAACAAAACTTCCTTAAATGTGGGAATGGTAGGGCATTCCCCAGTAGGGTATCCTAGCAAATCACAAATCCCACACTTGTTCTGTGGGTGGTCCAACAAAAACTTGGTTTACCTTCTTCATCTCTAGAGCTTCAAGCTTTCAAGATAAGGTAGTCATTTTGGCCCTAAGGTCATCATCATCTTTTAAAACATATTTTTTCCCTTGGGAAGTGGATGGTTTGGCTTCGACAGTGGTAGGAGAGGTTGAGTCCTACATTTGGGAGCTCTTGGATATGGTGTCAAAAAATTCAAATGCCTACTCCAGACTTTTTCCATGAACTCTCCTTGAGTCATCATCTTAACAAACTGACGTAGTCAAGTGGGGAGAGAATCATAGAAAAATCCTACCAAAGTCCAACTCTCAAATGCGTGGTGTGGGCACACTTGGAGAAAATCCTTGAATCTCTACCAACATTGGTAAAATGTCTCGCTCTCTTTAATCGAAAAGTTCATGATTTTCCCTTTAAGTGCATTGATACGGTTTAAAGGGAAAAACTTCATGAAAAACTCATCTTGTAATACCTGCCAATTTGGCATCGAATGGGATTTTAAAGAATTTAACTATTCTTTAGCTTTGTCCTTTAAAGAGAAAGGAAAAAGTTTCAACTTGGCCCGCTTAGAATTATCTTGGAATGTCCCATATACCTTATTGAATTCTTTAATATGTAACTATGAGTTTTCTGATTCGAGTCCATGAAATTGAGGTAATAACTGCATTATTCTCGACTTCACATTGAAGTTTGGTGCATTTGCTGAGAACACAAAACAAGAGGGGACACTATTTCATTTGGGATGTAAATACTCTCTTAGAATTCGAACATTAGGAATCTTCCATTCTCTCTCATTATTGGTCATGTTGTTATCTGAGGAGTTTGAAACTGATCGAGGTAAAGAGGGTTTAGATTGATTTACAGACCCAACTGATTCTTGTGACAAATTTTGAAAAAGAGGATCGTCCTTAGACATAAAAAGAAGAATTATAAATGGAAAAATAAAAGTATGTACACAATAAATAAATGTCTTTTCACTTTTTATTTTAAAACACCATCAGTTCCTCGACAACGATACCAAAAACTTGACTTGATCCAAAATATGTATACCCAAGTGTAGGTGGTCAAGTTATAGTTATTATTCGGTTAAGTTCAAAGTTGAATCCATAAGGAACTAATGTGGGTGTTTTGAAGTCAAAAGTAATACAGACAAAAGCGACTGGAACTCTTGAGATTTGAAGTTATGATGATGATAGAATTTTCTAGACAAAATATAAGATTATCTTAAATGGAAATAAAAGTCACCCTTTAGCTTGAGGATCCAAACATGTATTTATTCATCTGGTCGTTATATTTGTGCCTTGTAGATTACTCAATTAACCCCAAGTCAATAGCTGGTTAATTAGAGGATAAAGATGGAATGTGTGAATTAAGAGCATGACTTCAATGTCTTTATAGAGATTTGTAAGGATTGTTTATGCTGGGACTTAACCCGTCTATAAACAAGAAAGCATTTCTACAAATCATCCAGCAACTATTAAGTTATCCCATCATTAATTAAAGCAATATGTAAATGAAGATTGAAAAATTTTCATAAAGACCTAGCTTGGGTACTTATAGGGAATCAATGAAATCACCTATCTCAAGACTTAACTTGTCTATAGGTGATCCTTGATTATACCAAACACTTTAACTTTATAGATGCATTCAATCATTCAATAGATAGTAGAAAGATAAAACATTAAGCATAAATAAAGTGTATAATTATAACTTCCGAACAATATTTTACATGTCCACACCTCTTGCTAAAGAGTGAATGAGAAATTACTCACTCTTCATGGCTTTGAGTAAGCTAGAAAAATGAGTAAATCTCATCCCTCTAAGTAGAGGAACTTATAATTACAAGTTAAAGATTACCAAAACAATGTGCTTATCTCTGACAAAGAATGAGTGAAACACTACTCACTTTTCAAAGCCACGAGAGAGCTAGAAAGGTGAGAGAGGTTCACTCCTCTAAGTGAAGGAGAAAGATTTACAATAGAAACTAATAAAACTAATACTAAAAGTAGAATAAAACTAGTTACTTTTGGAGGGATATTTTCACTTCCAAAAGAGATGTCCTTAAGCAATTGCCAAGGGTGGTATTTATAGGCAAAAGAGGAGGGTAAAGGATAGACTTAGGTGCTTAAAGTCCAAGCCTAGGCTAGAAAATCTAGATTGAAATCCAATTTGCAGTCGTTCTATCTTGGATTGGCGTTCGAACGTTATGCCTTTCGTCATTGAAATGCGTTTGAAACACTATTTGAGTTCGAGCGTGGTCATTAATGCAGCCTCGACACCAACAGTCAATAGTGATGTGTCTGTTCCCTAACAGTCCCTTGGAGATCCTGCCTAAATTGGCGTTCAAACGTGGAAACAAAGTCAACTTTGTCATGCAACTTATTTCTCCCTCCTTGGGTGCTTTTTGTTTGCTTTAAAACACATGTCTATTGCTTGGAAATGTGACATCATTGCCCGTATAGCCTTTGTACTTCATTTATCCTAAAATATCATCATTTAAAACAATTAAAGCATAATCAGTTTTATAAAGGCATAATAAAATGTAACTTTTTACTGTGAATCACTTACCTATTTACCAACCATCCAACTATGAGAGTAAATAAAAATCATCCAAAATATAAGAAATAATTCACCATTTATCAATCATAAATCAACTCCCAAAACTAAACAAGTAAATGCCTAAGTTTACATTCAAAACATTTAACTAATACTAAGTCTCAAAATAAATAACAAACTACCAAAAGTTTATTACATCACCAAGGAATCTATTCTAAGAATCCATAAACTAAAAGAACAACTCTAAGTTTCGGCTCTGAGATCTCCATCTTGATCAACCTCAGTCTTGAAGTCCACCTGTTCATTCAACTCAATATCCTCCTATGTTCCAAAATCTGAAAGTGTGGGTTGTAGAGGGTGAGCATAAGCCCGTAGGAAAATTCCTTTCAAATCTAAACAAGGTTTTTAAAGCATAAAAATGGAAAGTGTCTTTTGAAAAATAGCATAATAACTTGAGGAAATAAAACAATACCAGTTGTAACAATCTCAAGTTTATGGAACATGGTAATTCAATAACAGAAGTAAATATTTATGCATAAGAGTAAATAGTGAATAATTCAGTAAACATTATCTCAAGTGCCTCATGTATGTTGGTTGTTTCTCAGGAATTTACACAACGAACCTACCTCGTTCACCCACCACAATCACTAACAATCTCAATCATTCTCCGCAGGGCCATATTACAAAAAACTTTAGGAAGGATGTGTACCGTCTCACATGGGATTGACGAATCCATTCTTAAGAAAGGTATACCATCTCTTAGCTTCGAAACTACGTGAACAATAGTGGTTGATCTCAAGATACAACCCCTACAAGTTTTAAGCAACCATCTTACCCTCATTGAGATAGACTAACCTCTAATACTCTACGACAACTTTCGAAGGCAATCCAAGTTTGTCACACCCAAACCATACAAGAGATAAAAAACTCTTATAAAGAAGATGAAAACATACATAGATATATTTTCTAACCTCAATGAAAGAATTCAAGAAGAATCTCATACGTCAATACATTGTTTGATGTTAACCCCAACGTAATTAATCCATTTTCAATGTGAAAATCCCTCCGAATCTTGCGTTTTCTCTTTCTCTCCCACTCTTTAGAGGTGCCTAGGGTTGAAATTGATGAAAAATTGCAAAAGTGGGCATCCTTAGGTATTTATAGGGTCAGAATCTAAACAGTCTATGCGAGTCTGATCGTTTTTAAAAAAACACACTTACATTCGAACAGAAGATTTGCATTTGAACGTGCCTCGTTCGAACGTAAGTGTCGCACAGTATCTCGATTTCAGTCAGGCACCAAAGTACGGTAACTTTGCTTTGTTTGAACGTGAACCCAATTTTCTGCCTCAACTTCCAATATAATTTTGACCTACTTAGAAGTTGATTCACGAAATCGTTGTGAAATACACTTTTGTTGCTCTTGAAATTTAGTTTATTATGTCAAATTTGTAGGTCAATCTATTGTCAAACTAAAAAATTATAGGTAAAATACTAAGTCAGTATCTAGTTATTCACTTCCTAACTTCTCCCTATAATGAGTATAATGTCCAAAATACCTAATATCTTCTAATTCAACCTATATAACTTATTCCTAACTCATTATTTATACATGCAACACATAGGACTCGATATTTATATAATTCTAAATACACGGGTTTACAAGTTAGTATGGTGGTAGAGATGGTGGTGACAAATGTAGTGCTACAATGGTGAGGTGGTGCTGGTATGGTGATAGTGTTGGTGGCTGATGGGTGGAAGAAGACGTGGTGGTGGAATGGTGATTAAGGGATTGGTGGTTGGGACAATAAAAATATTTGTAAAGAGAGCTCAGGAATGACTCGGAAATCTTAACAAGCTGCAAATATTTCATCCAACTTCAACTTGTTAATTTTTTTTTCCGACTCAAACTCAACTAGTCTAATTACACTTTGTATGATTAGGTGAACAGAACTGAAGCTTGTATTTGAGTTGAAACTTGGGTTCAGACTCTTGCTCAATTCCAAACTTGGCTATTTTGTATACTGTGTTCACAATCTAGGACGGTTTAGCAAGCTATTGCTCAGACTCGGCTTGTCTATTATACAAGTTTTAAAAAGAACTCGGTTTGTTTTATAAATGAACAAACTTGAGCGAATTTTAATATTGGTAGATCCCAAACTGTTAATAAACTACTCAAATTTACTTAGCCATGATAGAAATATTGCCTTCAACCAACTACAGCCTGATTTTCATGGCACTGAAAGTGAAGCTTGCATGATTGGCGCTATTAACTATTATGCTAATAACTTAACTGTACAACGGAGAAAAAGAATACAAGATTGCGACTTTCATGATAAGTCATCTACAACATTGTCAGTTATTTGTCTGGCAGAAATGACCCTATCTAGAGTTTGGTCTGGGACTGTGATTCCACTGGTCTCCAAATCTGAGACTATAGCGACAGCCGCATCAAGCTCCCCAAGATCAAGACACAATGTGACAAGTTCATCGTACAAAGGGCTGCAAAAAGACAAGAACATATTAGAAATGATCCGGAACAATGATAGACTCTGTAAACTGGCCCCAATCTGCAGTCATTGCAACTGTGATGAACTTAATATAATTTTGAACTTCAAGTCATTGTAAATTATATGAGGAATCAAACATATAAGCATCTAATTACACAGCTGTCAAACAGTTTCACTGCTGCTCTTTGCTTTTGAGCGCTTCTAGCTTGAATATGTGATGTGTGAGTCTATTGTTTTGAAACATTTTTGACATCCTATTACAAAGAAATGAGTTGTACTGTGACTTTGTCAGATGCTCGAACGAACAAAGACACTGGTTATTGAGGGATCAGAGTCAACAGCAACATGGTAAAACAAGACATAATATGGTAAAAAGAACAAAATTGTGACGCCCTCTTCCTATCTTTGATTTGTCCATATTGACTTATTTTCTTTCATAGATCCCAAAAAACAACCAAAAAGATTCCATAGATCTTTAGTTGTTCAACATCAAAAACCATGTGACAGAAAACCTGAGATAAAAGGAGGTTTTTTCAAGTAATCATGAAAACAAGAGCAGGTACCAGCAATATCCAATCTAACACAGTAACATCCCCAAAGTCATTAGGAGATTCAGATTATTGAAGAAAAACCTAGGACACCCCTGGCAGGTACAAGATAAAAAGATCAAAAAGACCAATGATATCTCGGTTCAGTCGAGTTGGCTAGGTTCCCAAACAACTTTATCTGAAGAGTTCAGAAATTCAGATATAAACAAAGTGGTACTTGATCATAACAGAGAACTTTGTAGACCCATAATTACCAGGTGCACTAGCTCATGTTAATAACACTAATGGGACCAATGATGAAGCTATTCTATTAATATGATGAGTCCATCTGGCCGTTATTGATCATTTCATCTTATCATACAAAGGAATATGATAAGATTTATGTACAAGAATTCAAGTAGAAAAGCTCTGATAATCAGACTCGTAACCTCAGTAACAGTACCCTATGTTGTCATGATATGTACGAATATTGTGTTGAAGGCTCTGATTTATAGATGCTTTTTCCCTAAATGAATACATTACTGAACTATGAATACATCCAACTTTCTACAAACAACCATCCAGGAATGGTGAAAAAGTACACAATAGGGTTGAGCATGTTGTCCAACACTTGAGAACCACACATGTTTTGTTCTTTTTTACGAAATGCCTTAATGTTGAGCTCTCTCTCAGTCTCTCACCCCTTTTGAAGAAAGAGAACGACAGTAGCCAAGAGATAGCATAGATACCCTAAAAAGGCTTTTCATACACAACCCCCCAAAGACAAAAACGAGATATGTAGTTTTACAGCAACAAAACAGTTTGAATTAAGTTTATAGATAAGTTGGATTCACAAAATGTGTAATATAATTTCACCAAATGATTTTGAGCTGTAGACCTCCATGTGGAATTACACTCTGTTGTAGCACTAACAACAATGATCAAGAATTAGTCTACATCCATTTATTACTAACCATTTTCAATCAACAGTTGTGAAAGAAAAAGAACTTTAATTTTCATCCAGATTGACCTTCTGTAGTTCTGTCAAAAATTGAGAACCTTTGACAAGTTTAAATGACAAAGCACTATCTGTCTAGGAAAGCCAAAATAGAAATACTCGACAATCCCGAAAATATGATCTTACCTCCCAAAGGCATAACCGAGACTATGTGTTGTTTGCAAAATTTTCAAGAATGCTGATGGGAGAGGAGCTCTTGTAGCTGCACGGAGTATCATGGCACAATCCCCAATAGTTGGTGTGCCACCCAATTCTATTACCTGAAAATTTGGTTCAGAAGTTTCATTCAGCCCAGAAGCATATGACAAAGTCAAGCACTACTAATACATAATATCCAACAGGAAAATGACAAAAATCACAAGTAGTATGTTTCTCTTGAATGCATTAGAACCTTAAGTTCTCTAATTAATCTATATTTTCCAGCAGGGGACCTGGTATCTGATTAATTTTCAACAGGAAATAAAAATAAAGTTTGTTGTCGTTGCTATTGATTAAGACTTGATTATCAATATCCATCTGTTTTCTCTTGTAGCAGAACACAGTGGAGACAGGCATCAATTTTAGGGGTGCAACTCAGGCGGGTTGGACGTGTTGAGAGGTCAACCCTAACTCTAGTCCTAACCCGACCTCAACCCAAGTACTGCTCCAGTTTAATTCGGGCGGACTCGAGTTGAATTCAGGTTACTTAATTCGGGCTAATTTTGGGTTAAAAATTGGGTTGGGTTTGAGTTACTTAATTCGGGTTGATTTTTTGAAGTATAAACTTGATTTTTTCAAGTGATCTGAGATGACGGGCAAGACGCAAATGAAAAGAGAAGGAGTGAAGAGTGAAAGCGGGAGACTGAGAGTCTGAAACCAGATGAGAGACGAGTGAGAGAGGGATCTGAGAGTGAGGGAGGTGTAGGGGTAAAGATTTAAAGTAAAGTGAAAGTCTAAACTCTTAAGAGTGAAGATAAATACTAACCCTAGTTAACTATATTTATGTATATTCGGGTTCAACTCAACAATCTGAGCCCTCAACTTGAGGCTTACCCGAATTCAATTCGAGTTGAGAATTTTTTGCCTAAACCCAACTCAAGTATTAAAAATTCTAAACTAAACCCTTTTTTTTCAGATTAGGCTCGAGTTGAATTCAGGTTGTCCCGCTCAAGCTGCACCCCTAATCAATTTACTTTTAAATATTCTCATCTCAATCATTGCAATGATGAGTCAATTTTTTTTAACGATTGACTTACCCTTTTTCTTTTAAATAAAAACCCATATATCTTCAATTAGGCCAACTCATTGAACTCGTCATTGGTCTTCTTTATCAGATAGTTTGATTTTAGTGCTATTTATGGGAATGACTAAATGAGAAGATATGTCAAATAAAAGAGGGCAAAAGAAAATGCTTGCTTTACCTTTCAATTTCAATGCAAATTCTCTGCGAGCAGAGTAGAACATAAGAGGCCCAAGAGCTACTCTAAGCCCAACCCTAACAACACCTAGGGCACTTTGTATGGAGGATCAAATCAAATGGCCAATTCTCTCTTATAAGATTGAATTCCTTTCCAGAACATAGTAATCTATTGGCCGAGTTTTTTGGTAAACAAAGTACCGCACTTGGAATCAAACAAAAACCATGGCTAGGGAGTTACACAATATTAACATTATGGGCTTGTGGTTACTGCCTAATACAAATTTTAACGAAAAGAGTCATGTATTCACAAATCATTGAAGCCCTGTTAGTGACTTAACATCCTCTAACAGGCCACTGCATTGCACAGACAGGCACAGAGGTGGCAAAATGTCCAGAAGGAACTCTCGTTTAAAGAAAGGAGGTTCCATGGGGGCTAAGCCAAATCAAATTGAAACCATCGTCGTAGCATTACCCCTCAAGCCCACTGATTAATCTCAGGGCTATCAATGTAATGATCAAGATTAAATTCCAACTCAAACTCAAACCCCATTAGAATTTTTTTTTTTTTTTAAGAAACCAAATGCTTTATTAATTATTAAGACATACAAGTTACATCAAAAAGGTTGGATAAGAAATCCAACCACTAAAACTGGAAAACAACGAGAGAAATAAAGTTACATAACAAGCCTATACGTCACAAATTTGTCTCCATCCCACTAAGATTGTAAAGAGTGGGATTCCTTTAAAATATTTAGAAACCGAAGCTCAAAATGAGGCTAAGAAATTAATTTGATCCCATAAACCATCCAATGACTCATATCAATCTTTAAAGATTCTTGCATTTATTTCTTTCTAAATAACTCAAAAAGTAGCAATAATAGCACAATTCCAAAGAGTTACACCTTTATCGAACCTCCCAAAGCCTTTCATATCTTCAATAAAGAAAGATATAGATGATAAAGGAAGCACCCAACTCAAATCTGCCACTCAGAACAATTTATACCACATAGCCAAAGCAACAGGGCAATGCAGAAATAAGTAAACTATACTTTCACAATCACTTTTACACATCACACACCATTGAGGCAAAAAATAACTATGGGGTCTTCTTTTCTGAAACACATCCCAAGTGTTAAACTTTTCATGCGCAACAATTCATGCAAAAACTTGCACTTTAACCGGTACTTTAGCCTTTCATATAATCAAAGTAAGGAAAAAAAATAAGGTAAGATTATTGATTCAAAAAAAATCAAAGAAGGATTTACAAGAAAATACATCCGACAATTCAAGCACCTACCCTTTTTTATCACATAACTCGAGATTCAACAAATAACTATTTAAGATATCAAGAAATAAAGTGAGATCCTCAATGTCTATATCTCCTATATTCCTATAGAATCCTAAATCCCAAGAGTATGGATGGTTAGAAGACCTTAACACATAAGCAATAAAAACACCCTGAGAATAAGCTAGTTGATAGAGATGTGGATACATAAATGAAAAAGATAACTCCCCCGCCCAAGCGCCTCCCAAAAACGGATTCTCTCTCCATTACCCACCACAAATCTCAACTTTTCAAAAAACCATGTCAAATCCTGAAATATAAATTTCCATAGACAACAAAAATTTGCACTCTTAACCCTATTAGTGTCTCATCTATTGGCCGGTAAACCATATTTGCTCTTCATAACTAAATGCCACAAAGAATTTGGCCCCAATGGAAACCTCCACAACCACGTACCCACTAATGTTATGTTTCTTACATTTAAATTACTAATAGAAAGGCCTCATTTGTCCCTAGGACTAGAAACCACTCTCCAATTTATTAAATGATCCTTCCTCCCATCGTCATTTCCCTCTCACAAAAAATCTCTCATCATTTTTTCTATCTTCAAAGCAATTCTCCATGGCATTTTAAATAAAGATAAAAAATAAGTCAGAATATTAGCTAAGACTGACTGTACTAAAGTTAATCTACAATCTTTTGAAATGAAATCTCTTTTTCACCCATCCAATCTTTTCCCCACTCTTTTTACCGCTGGATCCCAAAAAGTTAGTGACAATGGATTTCCACCCAAAGGTAACCCTAAGTATTTCAAGGTTATTCTCCCACCATACATCCCAAGAATACCGCAACTCTATTCACCTTATCAATATATGTGTTGATCACCACAAAAACAGTTTATCCATGTTCACTTTCAAACCATACACTAGCCAAAAAACCTCAAAAAAATTCTCAAAGTTTACTATTTTTTCCTCATACCCCTTAGAGAAGAATATTGTATCATCAACAAATGAGAGACCAAAACACAATCTCTCCCTACATTAAAACCTCTCACTAGATCACACCTCTCTGCCCTCGTAACTAACCTACTTAGTCCATATGGAACTAAAGTAAAAAGACAAGGAGATAATGGCTTATCTTGCCTCAAACCTCTAAATGCCTTAAATCTACCTCTAGGTTTCCATTAAACATGATAGAAAAATTCACCTCCCCTAGATCCTTTCATCTCTAAAACATGGTCTAAAAAATCTCAATCCATGTGATCATATGCTTTCTCAAAATCGACCTTAAAAATAAAGCCCTGTTCACCTCTAACTCCATAATCCTCTACAATCTCATTCCACAAGTGCTACATCCATAAGTTGCCTATCCTCAACAAAAGCTCCTTGACACTCAGAAATGGTATCACTCAGAGTTTCTCTTAATCTCATGGATAGCACTTTTGCAATAATTTTATAGAGACCGAACACCAAACTAATCGGTTTAAAATTCCTAATGTGATTACAAAGAGAGACAAAGAGTGAGACCAAAGAGTGACATCAGAAAAAACACAATAAAAAAAATGACATTGATTTCATAAATTTTATTACATAATGTGATTACAAAGAGAGACAAAGAAGAAACACAATAATCATAATGAAATTGAAATCCAAAAAAAACACCATAAGTTTCATTTGCACAAATGTTTAATACAAAGTCCAAATATTTTTAAGAGTTTTTCAGTCAATTGTCCTTCCTTTAACTTTTTCCGTTGGTTGAAATAGTCTTAAGCCCGGGATGTTCTGTGGTTCAAGAAAATTGTCACCATTTGTGCCCGATTCACCAATCAACTTTTCTTCTATTTATTCGCCAAAGCTATAACGACTTTCTCGAACCCCAAAAAAATGCCTTTTTATAAAAAAAAAATATAAATCTAATACCGATAAATATGGCTCACAAATTATGTGGGATGTCGCTTTCGAATTTCAAACCATTGGTTTTCCTTCCGTTTTTGGTGGAGTAATGGATATTGTTGCCATTGAATATGTGGTTTTGAGGGGATTCCTGTTGGTTTCCAAAAAATGGGTGGTTTTAGCATTAAATGTGGTTGTTTAAGTCATTTTGTTACAATTTGTCCTTTTGGCCAAATACTATTTGTGTTTGGACTTTAAGTCAAATAAGTCGTACAAAGTGTACCGGCCTCTAAAAACCCCTAATTTCAATGTTGTTTTCAATAAAAAAAGCTCGCAGGTGGGGCAGGCCAGGCCTGCTCAACAACACACTTGATAGCAATAGTTGTAGACCACGGACTTGAAATTGGTGTAGGACCCCTTACCGATACCTGCCCTCCCAATTACTTTCCCATGTGGGCTTCAACCCGACCGAAATCTCTTCTGACACCCCTATGTTAATGGTTTGACAAATACCCACTATCTATTCCACTGATTTGAGCAATAGTTAAGCAGTATAATGATAAACACAACAAACGAAAGCCAAAAATAATTAGTTCACCAATAGAATTAGGAAGAAATCATATAAAACCTTGTATGTTGAGAACAAGTGGAACTAGAATGGCAGGAGTGGAAGATATTACAGAGCAAATAAAAATACCTTCAGCATTACTCTGACAGCTAACTCAACTTCCCATTCCTGTGACCATCTCCGAGGAGGTTTGTTCTTCAATTCTCTTTCCCATGTCCAACCCCAAGCATCAGCAATTGTGTACATATCTGACACGTCAAACACTTTCCTCTTCCTCAGCTCTTTAAATGCTTCATAAATATCCTCCGGAAACCAATCATCGTCATCATCATCCTGCATCGATGTTCACCATTCAAAAATTACTATATTTTAAGATTAAAATCTAGAATTCCACATTTGAAGCCTAGGATCTTAAAGCATAATGTAACACTAGTGACAAGAAAAATGAGGAGATCTAAGGTGGAACTGAAATGCACAAACAAAAATATTGAGATGGGTAAGAGAAGCATATTAAAAAGGCGACAATCTCCTGCCCAGAAATTGAGTAATGTTTGGCTTATCATATCCCATCACCAATACCAAATTATATAGTTGGTACCAAGCTGCAACTGGTATGATATTCACTAATGCTCCCTCCTTCAAATAAGCTCGATTACAAGGGTCAGAGTGGAGGATTTTGACATCAAATTTAAGTTGACAGATTACTTTCGCCTAATAAGTTTTGGTTTGACGACATTATCCTTCAGCAAACTAGCACTTGGGTTTAGGTCAAGCTTGTGAGTGTTAACATTGCCTTTTATCACAGCCAAATCTATACTATTGGAATCAAATTCTGTTTGATTGTCGGATTCCTAAACCCATGGTCAATGGTAAGACTCTCATACCTAGCCGGATGAGGTATTCTTAGAAAGGAATAGAAATTCCTAATCAAGCTCTTTCTTAAAATTACCTACAGTCCTAAAATCAAGCTCTCTTTCTCAAATCAGTCTCCTTTCTAAAGTTTAAGTTTTTTTCAAAAAAGCATGAAGTAGATATTAATTTCCTAACTAGATTACTAACATTAACCAAACACTAAGCATGTGATTACCATGGTAATTGAAACCTGGGTATCCCATTACTAGGAATGAGATACTCATTTTCAATTAAGATTGCTGTCATCAAAACAAGGTCATAGTGTTTTGAGTTGATTGTTTTAACACGACATCAAAGTTGGGCTTTGGGAGGTTGTGGGCCAAGTCCATTTCAATTTCATTGACCTGATATTTCGCCTCTCTTTGTTTCTATTGGTGGTGTACTGTATTATGGACCTAGTCTTGTCTTTGATTTTCTCTGCTTTTCCGCATTGAAGTGGGATCACACAGGCAGATTGTTAGAACTTGTCCTACACCACTTCTGAGTGAGGTCAGACATAACAAGCATCGCTAGAGATAGTCTCACATCATGCTCAAGATGGATCGCACCTAATGAGGATTCTTTAGAGCTTGTCCCACTTAAATAATTTGGGGATATGAGCCTTGTAAGCTTTTCAACTGATTGTCAATCATTTTGAGTCAGATACTTTAACATATATGCAAATGATTCCAAATTGATGTGCAGTTTACATGGTTGTAAGGGATGCATTCTGATGCATTGAACTATGAATGACAACTTCTAGTGATTTAACCACACGAGAAATCCACAAACGAGAAAAAAAGATATCTATAGAAGTGGACTTCCATACCTCTACTGATATTCGGGAAACCTTTTTCCGTGATTTTCTTGATGTGGTGGTCATCTGGTTAGAATCTTTTAACAATTGGACTCCAATCATTTGAAGAGGTTTTGCAGCGTCAACTTCCTTATCCTTAACTCTGCCATCTACTTGGCTTTCAGTTTGCTCCACTTCCTCCTCCTCTTCTTCTGCCTCATCATCTTCAATCTCTTTTGCAACATCCTCAACAACATCAGCATCATTTAAGATATCATGAACTTCCGAATTCTTTACTTCAATTGGCTTGCCGTGATCACCATTTATGCCTTCTCCAAGAAAACGACGTCTCCAAAACTCTGTATTTCCTTCTTCTAGCTTGATCCGTGAAATTAATTCATCCAACTCTTCATCAACCTGTCAAACAGATCAAATAGTAATACAATAAGCCAGAAACACCTCTAGAGATGCTAATTTGAAAGCTCACCAGCATACAGATATCTACATTGAATATAAATCATGAGCTTAACCACAAAACAAAAATATAGAATTAACCTCCTCTTCTTCCTCCTCAACAGGAGGAACCCAAAGGGGCCGACCTCTTGACCGATTAATTCTTCTTGCCTTTTGAACACGCTGATAGAGCACATTTCTAGTTCCATCTGTTGGCAGACCTTGTGCTTCTAGTTCTTCCTTTAGCTCAGATACTATCATCTTACTAGCAGCTTTAGGCTTTAAAGCATTTTGGTCAGGACCTTTAATAATTTTCTTTAATCTCTCCTCAACTCGGATATAATCGAGTTCAGATACATCCCCCAAAACTGAAGGTCCTTCGTTGCGCAAGGTTCTTAATAGCTTTCGATGATGCACCTTCCAATCTTCAAGACATCTTCGTTTAAAGGAGGTTTCCATAGGGTTGGAATAAACAAATCCGAGAGCATCCGGATCCAAAGGAGTTTTTCCTCTCCGTGGTACCCATCGCTTTCGCTCGCCTAAAAGCCCACCCTCTGCAATGTACCTGGTTGCTGTGCATAGTTAGTCATAGCTTCAACTGAAAATTTCTACATCACATGCACTAGAACTTTGCCAGCAAATACACATACTACCATTCCAAGTTATGAACAAAATGCCCTTTCCAACTTGGCTTCATTACTGCACATAGCCATTGTACATGAACTCTAGATACAAGGATTTGATTTTGTAATTAATTTTTTAGAATATAAAATCAATTTATTTTTTTAATTTCCAAACTGCTTGGCATAACAAAATGTATGTATTCTTGGGAACAGATTTCAAGAAGACCACTGGAAAAGACCTTTTAAGATCAACTTTGACTTGAATCATTATTGAGAAAAAGATAATTGCACACATGAAGGGATAAATTCTCTAGTATTATCCCTGCTTTTTACCATTTCCACATGAAATCAAATTGACAACAACCTCGTAAATCAAAGACACCAGATATCTGTTGGGCTTAATGGGGGATTAAAAACAATCTGCATTTTGAGTAGGTGTAAATCGAGTCATATCGTGTCATGTTTGTGTTGCGCCGTCATGATTTTGCTTTGTGTTGGTGTAAACCATGAACTGGAAACTGCATAAATATTTTGTAATGACATAATTTAAATAATTCTAGATCAAGAAATGAGGAAAAAGAAAAGAAATACACACTTTTTCCTAAAATATCACTTAAACGAATTATTTGTGTCTAATTATTGGTCATGAATTTGTGTTGGACCAAGTCCCTTTTCATAATTACGGATAAAATTAGCAAACCTAATGTCAGGTATATGCAAGGAGCCAAAAGAAAATCTAAGTGGCCACCTCACATCAAACAAAGCAAATAACATAGTCAATAGCTCCCAAGCCACCTCATAGGGAAAGGACAAATGGTTCATCAATTATCCTGCCCCTACATATACAATCGTAGTTCCCTAACTCATTCAAATAGGCCCCTACACACCCTCTCAACTTGTGGATATGTGTTGAGAGTGAATCCATGATGAACTCATGCTCTCAAATTTACAAAGCATGAACTGAAATTGAATATTGTTGAGTTTTGAATCAAGGTTACAGGGTAACAGCATTAACCAGATCATAGCTCCCATGAAATACTGTTGCATACTACTTGAAAAAGTTTTCACAATGTTGCCCACAGAGAAAATTGAACAAAAATCATGCAAATTGTTAAGAACTAGCAACCGCAAACCATCCTCACTTTTGTTTATGTAATTCTTCCATTATCTATCGAAGTATTATCTAAAGATTGAAACATAAGCAGATTACAAATACCATAGCTTCAAATATTTTAATTTATTGCAACAATATAAAAACTGCAAATCAATATAAGGTACATACATAATTAAAGAAATAGCATAAATATTGCAATTTCTATTAGAATCAATAGAAAAGATATATTTGCATTCACAAAGATTTAACTAAAGACTATTGTTGTAATATTTTTCACAGGACTCTAGAGATAGCACACAGACTCTCGCGCTCTGCACCCAAAGCCACACTTGGACCAAACCATCCTCTGGTCACTATGTATACAGAACCAACTAACAAGAATTGTCCCCCCGTTTCTCGAATTGTCACTTGTTTGTATCATGGTTCAAAGTATCGGTCAATACCGATATGAGTCGGCCGAGTCGTATCCGTTTCGGCACCTTCGGAGACGATACCGTTACACGATATGTATAAACCCCAAGTCTCGCACAACTCGTCCAAGTCTGACTCGCCAAAATATCGTCACCGAATTGGCCGATACGGTTTCACGATGCCGCGATATGACCTGAATTTCTCATCATTCTCAACATTTTCTTTTAGGTAGGATCGCCCGATACCACGCCACGACGTCGTGACCGATGTGTCTCAGAGCTCTACGAGTTGAAGGCCGATACCACGACCTTGAACCATGGTTTGTATGGCTTCTAAATGCACTGTTCAAACAAAGAAAGCCACCTTAAGAGGGAACTTAGTCCTCCAAACATTCCACCAAGAATGTTTGAATAACTCCCAGTCAAAAGAGCCAAATAATAGGATATCCTGGACAATGTCCCAAACTTTCAATGCCTCCAATGTAGCAACCACTTGGAAAATCCATGTCATGGAAGCATCAGGTGATGCATCAATCTCCTCAGTCTCCCTATGAAGCACAGATATTCTCAAGAAGGTGACGTATCCGTGTCGGACACCGACACTCCTCGGACATGTGTCCTACTCTTTTATCTGTGTCTTAAATGATAAAATTCCATATTTGTTGTGTTTACGATACCACTTGAGCTTGGTGAATGCTCTAATACCAAGATGGAATATATAATTTGTAATTTTCTGGGGTTGGTGAAGACAAGAAGAGAAGAAGAGGATGAGATACATTGTCTGAAAAAGTGAAATAATTATTTTCTCATACACACGCTCACTTTATTTGTAGTAATAAATACACTACAGAGTTAAAATAGTGCCCATCATTACGATTCTTCAAATATTCTACATAAACTGAGGAATAACATAAATGGAAACTTGGAAGTACAGTTTATGTAAAAAGATTTTATTGCAACTCACAGTATAAGTACGTAAATAGTAGTAGTCATTTGATCCCAGGTAAGTGAAGCAATAAGTAAAATGATGCAACTGGTATGGCGAGTCACTGCAAAACAATGAATGTGAATAACACACATACACACCTTGCAATATAATCAATCTCATATCCAAGTTCAGCTTCTTCTTGCAAAGGTTCAATCCATGAGCTAACTAAAGTCCGATACTTTCTGCTCAGGATCATGGCCCGGGGTGGGATTGGCTGGTTATCTTTGGTCATAGCTTCCAGAGCTTCCAGCAACTCAACAATCCTTCCTGGTTTTTCATGAACAATTGCTCAATAAATGTTAGTTGACCCATGACGCGCAAATGAAAGCATTATAAATGAACTACTGCAGCTTCTATGATTCCTCCAAGCAATGAATGACCAAGTTATTCTGTGGACTACAACAAATCTAAGAGATTATGAAAGCAACAACACAAAATACACAATGGAATGAGTTAGTATTTTGATGACTAGTGTCAATTACTTATCTATTATCTATTAAAAAGACTGTTTATATGCTTGAATCACAAAAAAGAGCTGGCGAAAAATGAAATGCTTACTACAGCAAAAAAGTGGTTATACGGTCCCCTGAATGCAGGGAAACCCTTACTAATGGGAGTTGGAGTTGGACTGTCTATAAACTGTACAATAAATTTTTCAAATGGTCATGGCCATACTTATTGAGAAACAGGAAAAAGGGCACACAGGCAGATTCACCAATATCAGTAAAATGTTTTGATTTAATGCTGATCCTTCCGACTGATGTATGTACGGAAAGGCCCTTTACCATTTAGGTTGTCATCTTTATTTTGAACAGCAGAGATACATTCATCAATATCGGTAAAATATTTTGATTTAATGCCGAACCATTGGATGACCCTTCCACCAGATGTATGCATGGAAAGTCCCCTTACGCATCTAAGTTGCCATCTTTATTAGAACCAGTGTGAAAATAGTAATGTTATGATCATTGACTTGATAGCTAGAACTGTGACTATCCCAAATAGTTGTGCAACATGAGAGGCAGATATGAAGTCAATGGACTGTGATACATCAATAGCTTAGTCAGATTCTTTCAATGATTAACTTTTTGGGTGCATTTAGAATGTCATAGGAGGGCTGAAATCAGTGTAGCAAGGGAACTTCAGAAAAAATACAAAGCAATTATGGAGTTGACAGATGTTTAGTGCAAAGTATGTCCTTGCATCTTACAGTCTATACATGAAATGGATATAAAACAAAAAATAAAATTCAGAATCGGAAAACTTGTATCTTTAGCGGCAGGGCTCGGGAAACACTAAGCAACTTGGTAATAATATTACTCTTCCTCTTATAGATTCAATGCTTCCAAATGCAGTGCCACTTTCTCCAAGAGACAATATTGTACCAATCTCTTTTAAGTTCACCAGATCAAGCTCTTCGGACAGTCTTGAAATCATCAAAAAGGGTTGTTCCATTTTCTTATCTAGCTTGCAAGTTGCAACTATGTTACATCCCGAAATAGAGGAGTAACTAGCAAGTTCTAGATAGTAATTAAATTGAGTCATATATATCTCCTAAAAGTAACATGAAAAATAAAAAATTAGCATACTATACCTTCTCTGCATAAAGCTCGAAGATACAAAGAAAGTGGGTCCCCATATTTTCCTTCATGATGTAAAACTTTTGTTCCTCCTTCAAAGTTTTTAAGGGCATGAAAGTGTCTAACAGCTTCTCGTACTACACAATACTTGGTAAAGCACTCCACCAGCAGCCTGAACAAGAAGGTACATTGTCTTTATTAATCTAAGTCGACTTCAAGACTCTTAATTGAATTTGGCTTCACTAACTATGTGAGAAAGCAAACATAGTATATAGACTCTATTATATCAAATTATATGGCACCCAAAAAAAAAAAATTAATAACTAGTTTTCGTCCTAAGACAATGCTAGTATTTTGAACGTCCTTGACTACAGTTCAATAATAAGAAGCCAGATATAAAACCTAATTGTCTACTGAATATAACCTAGTCACTGATGAGCTACATTGTATAGCATATTTGAATGCCAAACATGCAGCTAAAGAAGGTATTTTGACTAGTTTAAAATGTGATTATTAGTGTTAGAACCAAGTGACACGTATCACACACCGGAGGTCAATATAATTTTAAGCTTTCAGTCTACTCATTCCTGTCCCGTTTAAGCTTTCCTTAACCTCAATCTGGGACTCCCTAAATACTACAGTAATCATTTTCTGTCGAGCAGTCTTGGTATTGGAGATAGGAATGGAAATAACCGCTATTTAAAAACTAGCAGAATGACAAGTTGCTTTTTCAAGTCACACAAATGCACACGTCCCAAATGACTTGAACCTTGCACCTCCACCAGCGAAGTGGATGGAGATACCACTCACTGGAATAGCTATTGATAGTGGAAAGGGAAATGTGGAGACATTCAAAAGCTGTGGTGTAACATACACAGGTTACAAATTCTTTTCTTGGGTTCTCTTTTTTCTTTTCTTTTTTATTTGAGCAGGTTTCTTTTTTTGGGGTAGGCGTGGGGAGAGAATTGTCCATCTAGCTCAATTGATGCCATGCGGCTATTCAAGGATAATCAATGATGCATTTATGAGGAATCTAATGGTTAAAAAGGGGTGGCGTAAAGGGCAAGTCCATAACAAAATTATTTGTAGACTACAAGAGTTTCCTAACCAGATTGATCTACTTCGAGCAGCCACTGCCATCACTCTAATCAATGAACAGCAACTACTAAAATTATTTCTTGTGTATGTGCATCAATGAATGACCTGGAACATCACATATCTGACTAACTAGGATTGCAGCACTTAAAATTATGAAACCTATCATCAAACTAAGTGGATACAATTACTAAGTGTGGACTCAGTATACCTGAATGTATATTCATCGTGAAGAAATTGACAAGGGTAAGTTAAACCTCTCTTTACCTCTCTTGTATTGTCTTAAGCCTTCTCTCATACTCTAAACTTAACATGATATCAGAGCAATTAGATCCAAAACTAATCTGTAATTAACCCAATTAATCTTTCTTTTCTCACAATTAATCTAATTAAATCATCAATTCTCTCCGTCTTCTTCTCTCTTCCTTCCTAGTTCCGTCTTCAGTGCACCCATGACCATGGCATAGAGTTGTTGCCTAACCAGTGGTCATGGATGGTGCTTGGGTTGGCATCAAATGTGGAAAGGGATGGATCTGGGTTATTTAGATCGCGGGTCAATTGAGTACACGGTATGGGTGCGGATGCGGATGCAAGTACGTTACTATCTCCAGAGGGGATGGGCTTAGTTGGTACGCTATTTTGAATTGTGTTCACTTTGAACTCTTATTCGGATCATTTTCATTATTACAAAAAATTATATATAATTATAAATTATAAACATAATCAATACCAAAAAGTAAAATCACAAAAAGATAGAATATTTATGTTGAAGGCTTAAAATTTGAAAAATAACATACTAGAGAGTGATTAAATAGCTTCCTACTTGAAGCACAAATTAAAATAAGTCTTAAATGCCTAACAAGTCGTAAATAAAAATTACTCAATAATAAAAAAAATTATGGAGCACTGGTGTTAATTGTCAACTCATTTATATTTATCTTTTGCAATGCGCCCTCCTCTTGCAAAATTAAAAAATTTGAGTCTCATATAGTCTAGAATGACAGCGTGGTGGCCTGCTGGAACTAGTAGATGGCCGGTCAATAGATTTCAATAATTCTTTCCATGACTTGAGAATAATAGTAGTTGCAAGGGACTCTCTACAGTTAACAAGTCACTTCAACAAAATATAATGCGATGCAAACCTAGAGTTTGCCACTTTTAATAACTCTAATTTAAAATAAGCCCTAAACATTGCCAAAATATGTGTATGGTTCAAGAAATATTTACAATAGACTTTCCCCTTCTATGGATATTTCTAAACAACTCAAATTCCTTTGCAAAGTCTCTAAAAATGAGATTCAAAGTATAAACAACACAAGGAGACCAGAATATGTGTTTGTGTACCTTTTCCACCTCTTTTTCGGCAAATTTACAATTTGTTGTGTTATCAGTCACTACTTGAAGAACATTTAATAGACCTACTTCTTCAATGGCTTTCAACAAAAAATTAGCAATTGCTTTACTTATTTTCTCTACCCCGAAAAAATCCTCGACATATAAAAACAAAACTCCACAACTATTTGCAATAATGATGTAAATGAGTGGTTGATGCTTCACATTAGTCCACTCCTCTGATACAATGGATACCCCATTAGAATACCATATATCTTTACCAGAAATCAAATCTTTTTCAACACTTCTTTTGCACTAATCCAATAATGTAGTTATTGCTAATTCATAGTTGGGTGCCTTATAATCTTTAAGTCCTCTATTTATAGCTAAAATTATCTCATTGAACTGAGAATTTCTCAACACATTGAATGAGATTCCATTAGCACATAATCCCTTCATTACCTTCAAATCAACCATGTCTCGATCCATTATTTTAAATGCATCTTCCATTCATCCTGTCGTTGACAAAGATTGTCGCTTCATCAATGTAGAATTTTTTAGAGATGAAAGAACTCCTATTTTTATGTCTTTTGTACTCTTTCTTGTAATTTTGCATATGCAGTCAAATTATTCATTAACACTTGACACCGCTTAATTTCAGCTTTTTTTTTTGTCTAAGCACCAAAAAAATGGTAATACATTCGGATATATGAACTTGTAAATTTACCACTGCAATGTTTGCATGACCAACTCTTTGATCCTTTTGGATTTTTTCCTTAAACTGCACCAATAAAATTGATTTCATTGAGTAATAGCTTCAATTTTGAACCCACATATAATTGATCTGCCTATGTGTTATTTTTTTTGTGGTTGGCTAGCATTATTTTGCACCTATATTTCAAATTCTTGTTCATCATTGGAGTCATCTAAACCCTCAACATTGACTTCAAGTTGTTCTTCCAAGAAGGATGAATTTTATTCTTCTCTTCTTCTTTTACCAAATTACCATCTTCACAAAATTATAATAATTTTGTGAAATACAAATAATGAATGAAACACTGTCGGAGGCTATAAGAGGTGAGAATAATAGGGTCTAAAAGAACATAGTCAAAATTTATATGTTGCTTCAGTGCATAGAAGCAACAGTTTTCCTTTCATATCTTTGGTCTAATTAGGAATTGTATATATTCAAGTCTTCTACTCCAATTGAAATTATATATACTTGTACATAACTTTTAGTCCAAGAATTGCCCATATACAAGACTAGTACTTCAATTTGGAATTGTTTGTTGCCATATAATATTTTATATTCGATACTGTTGCCCTAATTTGGAATTGTCTACAACAGTATAATATTTTATATTGGATACATATTCTGCAATGTATAGAAAAGGTAAAAAGTTAAGACTTAATTACGAGATTGGTACACTGGTTATCACCCTTATAATAAGGCTATAATAGTAATTTTAACAAATTATTCTCGATCCCACCACTGTATCGGTTGCCAAAAGACATAAATTTGTGGGTGTCTTTTTATATTTTCCCTTCTACGTGCACTATGCCACTTTACCAAAAATCCAAAACCCTATCTTCCGTTAGTGGAGAACAAACGAGAGATTCAAATTTCAAAGATATGCTTTAGCTCTTTAGAAATTGCACTATCACTTTACCAAAAATCCAAAACCCTCTAATCTTCTTCCATCTGTGTAGAACGAACGAGAAATTCAGAGATCAATCTGATGCTTCAACTCTTTAGCAACTCAAAACCTACACAAGATCCAGGGAGGTGCTTCAAGATCCAAAGTACGACGTGATTATTGATCAAGGGCAGAGAAAGAGAGAGGAGGAGAGCACTCCATCCTTGAAGCTTGTTGTTCAATAGATTCGGGCATGCAACAACTTCATTTGATCTGGTCAACAATGAAATATAAGTGTTTAATTGTTAGTTTTTTCCCTTCTTCACCCTCGTTCAATCAATTTTATGAAAATATCTGTGTTTTTAGAACGATATGGGTTCATGGGGTCAAGGTTTGGAATTAGGGTCACTACTTTTCACGCTTTGGGTCGCGAGCGCACCACGTTTGGGATTGTGCGACTCAAGTCGTGGTTCGTATGCTCTTGAAAGAATTTTGGTAACCCTGTGATGGATTTCTCGATGTTCATGGATGTCCAGGTGATGGTGTCATGCCCTTGAGAGGTAGTGTGGCTGTAGTAGATCTTTGGTTGTGATTTTTTGTTGTGTGGTTTGTGGTTGTGGTGTTCGCTAGAGGTTAACATTGTAGGAGTATTAATATTAGGGGTAGTTTAGGCATTTATTTTATTATGTGTTGCCCTACTATATAAGGGCCTACATTGTGTATTTTAGGCTAAGTTGTATTACAGACTTGTTTAGCTATAATAATATTTTCTCTTTCTCCTTTCGCTCTTCCATCTTTGACCAAAGTTTTTATGGTATCTGAGCATAGTTTTGATCCAAAACATATTATAGTACCATAGTAATTTAGTTGGAGAAAAGAATATGTTCGTGGATTAGGTCTGAGATCATTTATGACAATTTCTTGCTATTTTCTTCATTTTTTTCTTCAAACCAAGCTGAAGGGATGTGACTAGAGGTTCTTAGAGCTTGTTTGTGTGATTTGAGGGCTACTAGTTGATGGTTTGATGATTTTCTTTGGTTCTAAGGGCTGTGACCAATACTGAAATTCTATTTCTGATGCCATTTTGTTGTATTTTTGTGTAAAAACCCTTAATTAGTTGTGAGTATTTGATTTGCAAAGCCGTTTAGTTAATTTGTAATGAACTGAGTTATTTGGCCTTGTTATATGCTCTGTTAGTCTTGAACTTTGCCACTGCTGCAATTTTCATCCCTTGTAGCTGGCTTGCTAGATTTTTGCTACTCGTTTGCTCTGTTTCTTCTTTGTAAAGTTGTTGCTTCATCACTCTGCTTCTTGTTTTCTAAGTTTTGTAGTTTGGGTTGTGTAAGAATTTTGACTAATAGGCTTTTGAGAATATTGGTAGTTTGGCCTTTGCATCTAATTTGTATCTGATAGGCTCTAGATCACATTTGGGTGTCATTGAACCAACTGAATATTAGGTTCACTACTGTTTGGTTGCTGGTTGTTGGCCTCAAATTTGGCTTTGGGATTAATTGTTCGTGTTGTTGCTATTTGCATTGGACTTTGCTTGTTAACATTAATTTTTTTTTTGGATTTTGGTGGTCCTAACATTAGGCTTTGGGCTCTTCATTTGGTTAATTGCCATTATGGCTAGTGGAAACACTAGCTTTCTTCATACTATAATTGTTGACTAGTTGCAAAAGCTTCTTCAGCAGTTTAATACTTTCTAAGTCTCTCATTCCATACGTTCTTTCACTTCGGATCCTTCCGATATATCTCGAATTGCTTGGATTTTTGACTCAGGTGATACACATCACATGACAAGTGATTCTTCATTATTTGCATCTACCTTCTCTCCTCCATCTGTATATGTGCTTATAGCCAATGATACTCAAATGCTTTGGCCGGTGTTGAGTCTATTGTTTCTCCGCAACTAACACTTCCGGATGTTTATTATATTTCACAACTTACCCTAAATTTGATTTCAATTAATTAGCTATTTGACTCTGAATTTTCAATTCATTTTTCTTCTTCTAGTTGTGTTGTGCAGGATCCATGTTCTAAGAAGTTGATTGAGACATACAATAGAAAAGGAGG